GGGACTCCAGGATCATGACCTGAGCTGAAGGCAGTCGCTTAACCGACTGAGCCACCCAGGCGCCCAACTCCATGTTTTCTAAAAGGCCTAGAGAACATATAGCAGGTACCTCTCCTCTTTCCCTTTGTGTTGGTCATTTTGGCGAATTGCTGGAAGATGCGGTTCTGGCCGAAAGGTAAAACAGCTCTTAATAAGAATGTCAGTCACTTCGGGCGCCTGGGTGGCTCAGTTGATTAGGCGACTGCTTTCAGCCCAGGTCATGATCCTGGAGTCCCAGGATCGAGTCCCACATCAGGCTCCCAGCTCAGCAGGGAGTCTGCTTCTCCCTCTGACCCTCTCTCCTCTCATGCTCTCTCTCTCTCTCAAATAAATAAATAAAATCTTAAAAAAAAAAAATGTTAGTCACTTCTCAGTTGATAGATCAGAGGGACATTTTTCAAACCTTATCCAGACCCTGTGGTAGTCAACATTGTTGATTACTTCCTCTTGGAAGCTCACTCCTTCCTTCTGCCACATAACTCTCACGTAATTCTTCTTACCTGTCTGACATTTCTTCTCATTCTCTTCTATTCGTATTATTTCTGGAGGATTCCATCTCTTCTCCATGGCTTCAGGTACTGTTTGTATGTGGATGACTTTGAATTTATATTTCCAGTCCAGATGTCTTACATATCTAACTGCCACTGGACAACTTCACTTGGATGTGCTCTAAGCTACTCAAACTTGTCACTGCCCAGACTGAGCTATTTTCCTTTACTCATCCACCTTCCTAATCTGCTTTGTCCTGTGTTCTCCATCTCAGTGAGTGGTATCCCCCCTTGTGTTGTTGAAGCCAGAAGCCTGGGCATCATTCTTGATTCCTCTCTTCTGCCCCCATCATCTAATAAGCCACCAAGTCCTGAGGATTCTGTCTCCTAAATATGTCAAATCTGGTCAGTTGTCTGTCACCTCTGCCACAATTTTTAGTTCGGGCCACTACCATCTCTTACCTAGATTACTTCTCCAGATTCTCAACTGGTTTGTGTGCTCCAGGTTTCTTTCCTTTCCATTCACTGTCCATACTATGGCCATAGTGATCTTTCAGAAATGAAAATCTGATCTA